AGTTTTTGTCGCAGATAGGCCTGTCACACAGGAAGATGACAAGCTGCAGGCAATGTTTGTCAGATGTCAGTAAGGAACAAGGCATGTACCCTCATGTGAGCCAGGAGGATGCCAAGAAATGTCTCCTTGGGCATGTCCCACAGTGACAGACCATTTCAGGTGACTGGGGTCTCCTAGAAAGGGATGTTCTGGTTGGAGGACGGCTTTCAGGCTGGGTCAAGTTCTCTTATACTAAGTACTTAGTCATTAGTGCTTGGGAGGAATGGTCAGAATAATAGAATGTGGCAGCTGGAGAGATAGCACAGTGGGTGACTGCTGACTTTGACCCTACATCGAAACAGCTAAGCATGGTGGCATGTGCTTACAGTCCCGGCTCTGGAGAGGCAGGGACCGGCAGATCCCTAGGGCCCTGAGACCCGCCAGTGTGGCCCAACTAACTGGTAAGTTCTGGGCCAGTGAGAAACTCTGTCTCAAAAAACAAACAAACAAAACCAAAAGACAACAACAACAACAACAACAAAAAAACCAAGATGGATGACACCTGAGGCCATTAAGTTGGTCTCTGGCCAACACACATGCATTCAAACAGTCACGCACACAAAAAGAATTTATGGGCAGGCAGGAACATGAAGGTCTTGATAAGCCATCTCTGGGTCTTACAGCCTCCTTTTCCACTCTTCCACGGGCCTTTCATTCTCTCCAGTTGGAGGCCGTAATCTGACAAGCCCATGCCTACAAGGCCTTACAGCTCAACGCTATTGTGAGATCCCCTCCCAGCTTTCCTTCTGAGCTCCTCTGTCACCATCATCACACAACCTCTGGCCGGCTCTAGGACCAGACTACCTCACTTCCTCCTCAGTGTTCATTCACAGTGACGCAGTTTATTGTTTGTTCTTAGTCTGCCTTCTCTACAGCATGAGCGCCATAAAGTCAGAGGCCGCGTCTCCTTTGTTCTCTTCACCATCAGGGTTTATCACAATACCTGGCTCTATAAAAGCCTCACAAATATTTATTCAACCGAAGAACACAAGCTGAGGTACTGGGGTCAAAACAGGTAAAAGAATTCCCTCAAACTCTCCTGAGTCAGTAAGACAGCACAGGGGTCAGCGTGACACTTGCCTAGGAAACCCTGACTTGTTAGGTGAGGAGGATGTGTCAGGTAACTTTTGACCTCTACGTGACAGCTGGTAGTTATGCCTTAGAGACATCACACAAGGAAGCTAGAAGTGTCCAGGATGAGTTCAGGAAGCTCCCTCCCTCCCCTAAGTCCAGCACCTCCACAAACCACGTGGGTGCTAGCCTCCGTGCACCCCACCCTTAGAGCTACATCTCATGAGCCAAGCACTTAGTTATTGCTGACTCAGGTCCTGTTCTTCCTCCGAAAAATTCCTGTCTATGCAGTAAGACAATTGTTTTGGGCTTCAAATGCAGCTTTCTTTTTTTTTTTTTTTTTTTTTTTTTTTTTTTTTGGTTTTTCGAGACAGGGTTTCTCTGTGGCTTTGGAGGCTGTCCTGGAACTCACTCGGTAGTCCAGGCTGGTCTCGAACTCACAGAGATCCGCCTGCCTCTGCCTCCCGAGTGCTGGGATTAAAGGCGTGCACCACCAACGCCCGGCTCCAATTGCAGCTTTTTATTTCCAGGCCTTATTTAGGGAGGACTGACAGGAGCAGAGGATTAAGATTGGAGGAGGGGATGTTAAATAACACGCTATTCACAGCCTCTGTATAAAGCTTGCTTTTTAATAGATGTTATCTTGGCTCTGCCTGAGTCAAGAGGGAGAGATTATTTATTTTATTTACTTTTTTTCTTATTATTTTAAAGGAAATGTTAATCCTAGTTTTGAAATCCCCCAGAGGATCTTCAGTAGCGCAAAGGGTGTTACAAAATTCTCAAGTTGATTGAAGTGAAATCATTCAGTCCAATAAACATGTCACACAATACGCTGTGGGGCCCAGGAAAGGGCGCATTATGAAATCAAGTAGATCAGTTTTTAAGACTCCCTGAAGGACAGTCAGCACAGGGTAAGTGATTCCTTGGTGCTGAGACTGGTTTTGTTCCTATAACCTCATCTTTCCTCCATAATCACCTGTTTCTACTCATGAAGGCTGTGGGAGGCAATAAGGACACTAAGAATAGCTCCTCTGGACCAGTACCAACCACATTGTCTGAGCTTACAACACCCTTCGTAGGCAGACATGGTTATCAATACTCCAAATGAAAACCTAGCACTTGGTAAACAGCTCCAGATTCATGTAGCTGCACAAATCTGGCAGATCCTTCAAGCCTATGCTTGACATGGGGGCAACATCCACCCCTCCCAAATACAAAATGTGAGGGGAAAGCCTCATGAGCGCATGTAACTCTAACCCCCTTACTCTTACTGTTTGAGGCAGTCTCAGATAGCCCAGGCTGACCTCAGACTTGCTAAGTAAGAAAAGATGACCCTGAACAATTATGCTTGCCTCTACCTCCCAAGCTCCGAGATGACACGTGTGCACCATCATACTTGGCTTTATGCGGTGTTGAGGATCAAATCCAGGACGTCTGGCATGCTAGGAAAACACTTCACCAACTAAGATGTATCCTTCCTGCTACCTCCTTGACAATTCTGTCATCTGAGGTCACACTAAGTAGAAATTCTAGAAGCAAGAATGCTTTGCATTATGTCATGTCACATGGGAACAAGGTAAAGGGCTGTGTTAATTGAAACTCTACACTGACTTCAGAGTTCAGTGTATAAAATACCACACGACCAGCAAACTAGGATTTTTAACCAGCCAACCCCAAGCTGTCTGTGTGTTTATGACACTCATTTTTTTTTCCAGTTTAAATTTAGATAAGAAACGAGGTTGCTTCACAAGTCAGTTCTAGGTCCCTCTCCCATTCCCTCCCCTCCTCCCGTGCCCTCCCCCCAACCCCCCCCCCCCCGTTATCCCCTCATTCCCCCAGGGGATAGTCTGTCATTTCATATAGGGCAGGGCCTAGACCCTTCCCCAAGAGTTCAGGGTGAGAGTGCACCTCACATTGTTCTATGGGAGTCCAAAGTCCGGGGATGGGTACTGATCTGCTGCCCAGGGCTCAATAGATTATCTAGGCCTCCTCACTGACACCTAGATTCAGGGGGGTCTTGATCAGTCCCATGCTGGATTCCCAGGCTGATGCCTGGGATTCAAGAGTTAACCTTTGTCTGGTCAGCTGTTTCTGGGGGTTAAACCAGCCCAGTCTTAATCCCTTTGATCATCAGTCCTCCCTCTCTGTTACTGGCTTTCTTGAGTTCAGCTCAGTACTTAACCAAGGGAGTCTGCCTCTTCTTCGATCAGCCACTAAATGAAGTTTCTGTTTCCCAGACTCTCTGGCCATAGGATTGTAGGCTGGCACTCCCCAGATCTATGTCTAAAATCCATATATGAGAGAGTACATGCCATGTTTCTCTTTTTGTGACTGGGTTACCTCACTCAGGATGGTTTCTTCTAGTGTCATCCATTTGCCTGCGAATCTCATGATTCCATTATTTTTTTTCTGCCGAATAGTACTCCATTGTGTAGATGTACCACATTTTCTCTATCCACTCTTCGGGTGAGGGACATCTAGGTTGCTTCCAAGTTCTGGCTATTACAAATAGAGCTGCTATGAACATAGTGGAACAGACATCTTTGTTGTATGAATGGGCATCTTTTGGATATATGCCTAAGAGTGGAGTTGCTGGGTCTTGTGGTAGGTTTATTCCCATTTTTCTGAGGAATCTCCATACTGATTTCCAAAGTGGCTGAACCAGTTGGCACTCCCACCAGCAATGGAGGAGTGTCCCCCTTTCGCCACATCCTCTCCAGCATAAATTGTCATTGATGTTTTTGATTTTAGCCATTCTGACAGGAGTGAGATGGTATCTCAGAGTTGTTTTGATTTACATTTCCCGGATGGCTAAGGATGTTGAGCACTTTCTCAAGTGCCTCTCAGCCATTTTAGACTCCTCTATTGAAAACTCTCTATTTAGTTCTGCAGCCCACTTTACTGAGTTACCTATTCAATAATGAACTTCGTGAAAACATGAATAGTGATGGCCTTCCAACAGCATCAGACTACCAGGTTGCCCATAACTGTAAAAGCTCTTTATCCCATGTCAACAGGATCAATAAATGTATCTGAATTGAGCTGGAGAGATGACTCACTGAGTAAATTGCTGCCCACACAAACATGAGGCTCCCAAACTCATGAAAAACCCAGCAATGGTAGCACACATCTTTAAGCCCAACACAGGAATGGAGACAGACAGATTTTAGGCGTCTTGCTGAGCAGCTAGACTAACTGAAACAGCTTCAGTTCTGGTAAGAGGCCCTGTCTCAAAAATTAGTAAGGCATAAGATAGCCAATGGTGACTTCTAGCCTCCATGGGTGCATGAGGGGTGTGCACCTGCATACAAGTGTACGCTCTCACACTTACACAGATGTGTCTAATTTATGTCATATTTCTAAAACCTTATTCCTAACAGCAATGGAAAGAAGTGTTTGCCTAGCCTGCATGAGTCCCTGGGTTCAATTCCTGCACCAGATGAACTGGGCATAATGCAGGAGACCCATGATCCCAGCACCAGGGGAGTGGGGATGGGAAGATCATCAATTCCTGGTCAGCCTCAGATACACCGTGGACTTTAAAGTTAGCCTGGACTACATGAGAACCTGTCTAAAAAAGGAGGTTGCCAAGAATACTAAAGCCGTCTTTGATTCAGAGCGCATCTCCCCTCCCCCAGGAGGCCAGCCCATTATTCCTAGCCTTAATGGTTCCCATCACAAAGGAACACAGCCCTATGCCCCGTTGAAATATTATCAGACAAGTACTGAAAAGTCCAGTTTAAAAGACTAAATAATGACATTTGGAAACACTTACAGCCAATAAAGAAGTAGAGAGTGAATTTTATCTTCGCTACTGTGTCAAAGGGCATTTGTCATATGTTAACAGCGTCTCCAGAACATTTTCTCTCTGCATTACCCCTTCTTTCCAGGCCACCTTGCAAAGACTCTGGGAGAGCACCAAGCAGAAAAAGGTATCGTCTCTTTCTGAGTTCTACTGACTCAGACAATACCAGGAAAGAGGAGGCTGAGACACACAGAGGAAAATGACACCGTGAGCTCCAGAAAGGGACCATGGCTCCTCTCTAGGCCACCCTCTGAGGTGAGGTGAGATCTCTGAGTGGTGGCAGCATGGCCACCGGTAAGGTCTCTCAATTCTGTTTTGCTGTGAGGGTTGATGATCAGGCCCCCTCATAACCAACCCTTGTACTAGAAGCCCTGAACACAGATGGAGGAGTGGGGAGAGGGCCTCTGTTAAGCAGCTGTCATGAAATGCCATTCAAGAGATGGTCATGAGAAACATCTAGGCGGATGGGCACTTGGTGAGGAGCCTTGTGTCAGTCAGGGAGAGTTGGGAGCGTGCTAGCCAACTGCAGTTGTTTCCATCTTTGCCTGGTAAATAGAATCTGAAAGAAAAAGCAATACTCAAAGTCAGAGAGACATGAATGGCATGAAGAATCCCTTACTTCTTTGTACACAGACACAATTCTGCACCTTTGAAGTGTCATTAAACCTACAGGTAAGGTCTGTGAAACGACACTGGAGAAAATCTGGATGTGGTGACACATACCAGTGATCTCAGCTAAGGCAAAAAGATCTTGAATTCAAGACTATTCTAAGCTGGGTAGTGAAAGCCTGTCTCAAAAGAGGAGAGAAGAGGGGAGAGGAAGGGGGAGGGGAGGGGAGGAACAGAGGAAGAAGAATGGAGAAATGAAGAGAGACAAAAGGAAGGAAAGAGAGGGGGAAGGAGGGGGAAGGAAGGAAGGAGGGAGGAAAAGTATGTACTGATTTCTCTGAACCTCTACTTCATCATCAAAAGGAATAATAGCATGTCCATAATCCAGAATTAACATTTATGTATATAAAGAGACAACAAAATACAACAAATGTCATCAAAGTAACTATTACTTTGGTCATTGGATTTTGATTACTTTCTTTTATCTCCTGTGTTGAACCAGGAGTTTGAACACCCCTACCAGGAGCTCTGCATTCTTAAGTCAAGTCTTGTTGTTGCTTCCAGCATTGCAAGAAGTAAAACTGGGAGGAGAAATGGGGAAGAAAATAGAGAAAGGGTTATGTAGATGCACCTTTGAGCAGAACTGTATCGAGGACAGATGGCCATAGTACCCAGTCAAGTTAGAAGTGCAGACGGGTGACATGGAAGCACCTTATATCTCAGAAAAAACATGGACTTGCCAGGTATGCCTCCTGCTTAGAATCCCATAGCCTGGGCAGTGGAGGCAATCCATGGTCTTCCTCAGCTAGATGGTGAGTTTGCGGTTCAAGGTTAGCCTGGGTATATAAAATTCTGTCTCAAAAAAAAAAAAAAAAAAGAAAAGAAAAGAAAGAAAGAAAGAGAACTAATGAAAGGAAAAAGGAAATTGTATTATATCCTAGTTTTAATAAGGAAAGTCATTCAAAGTTGTACATACATGTTAGAGTTAAGTAATCAAAATTATGTAGAAAATTAGGTAGAGTTCCTAAGAGTACATACAGGGAAATAAATTCTCAGGCTCTAGCAGTAAACAAGAAATAAAGTCACAAATGAGACCCCCACATGGCTGGAGGAGACCATGAATGGAATACCTGTTTAGTAGGCTTGGTTAGGGCTAAGACTGGGGGAAAGGCCTGGCTAAGAATAACCTCGAACTGGGAAGTCTTCGTGTCCTTATTTTGTTTTCTCATGTGTTTGTGTCCACATGGGTACATGTGGAGGCCAGAGATCAATGTCAGGTGTGGCTGTCATTCTAAAGACATTGTCATGTGGGGGGCATACACAGAGACCAAGTGTCCACCTTTATCACTCTCCATCTAATTTTGTTGTTATCTCATGATTTTTCACAATTACATGTGTGTGTATATGTAATTACTTTGGAAATATAAATATATAAATATATATATGCACACACTTTGATCACACTTACTCTCCTCCTCCTTTTCTCCCTTATTCTACTTCCATACCCAGCAACTCCCCCTTTTATTTTTATTTTTCTCCCTTCTTTTCTTTTCTTTCCTTCCTTCCTTTCATTCATTCTTTCTTTCCTCCTTCCTTCTTTCATGCATCTAATTAGGGTTACTTGCATAAGCATGAGTGAGAGGGTAATACTTGAGCAAGGGTCTAAACCATTTTGGCTAGACTGACTAGCCAGTAAGTTTCAGGAGTCCTGTTTCTACACCATCACCATGCCTATGCCATGCATACAGTTTACAGTGCATGGTGATGCTCATGACTGTCACACCAGATGCTGCCAGCACTAAGTTTACACCATACTGTAGATGAAAGTTTCTGTTCTAACTGGTCGCACCGCCCTGTTTGGCTTAGGCTCCTTACTGGCTAGCTCTCTTAATTATTAACCCATAACTATTAATCTATGTATCTCTACATGGCCTTATCTTACCAGAGAAGGCTCCAGCATGTTATTCCTTCAGCTGCTACATGGTGTCTCTCTCCCACAGCTTCTCTCTGTGTCCAATCCCCAGGGAGCACTGAAATATATAGTCACCTAAAACTTAGAGTTAAGTTAGTTAGGTTTTCTAGATATACAGAGATATATTTGAGATGGATATTCTTCAAACCTTTAAAGGCATACAGAATATGGCATTTAAAATTGTTTGTTAGGGTTTTTCTTGTCAGTGAGACACAACTGCTCCTGGCAATGCCAATTACATCAGAGAGGAAGATGGGTGTGGAAGAAACTCACTACAGAAATTGCTTTCGATATAGCCAGACTAGCCATTTGGTCAAGAAACTGCTCTAGCAAAGACTGCTCGACTGTATGCTGTATAAAGTGACATGCAGGACCCACAGGAAAGTGACTGCTGACCTTAACAAAACAAGATGGGACAGTACTTCGGGATTCCTGCTCCACGGAAGAGTCTGCCAGACATTTGGCAGGACACACAAAAATGACTGACAAAATCCCAATACGAGCGTCACAGTTTCAAATTTTCTGCTTCACTGAGAAGTCTGCCAGACACACTGTGGCCTATGGGCTGAAGATGGATGTCCCAATGTTACAGAGGATCTGTGGGTGTCTTTCTAGGCAGTGAGATGTCTCTGTCAATTCTAGAAATTATATATTATCCTTCTGTGGTCTTTGATGGAGTTGGAGACAAATAGTTATGGTTATAGTTTTCCCAAGTTATGATAACAGATAAGTTGCACATAAAACTGTAGACTCACAAAGATAGGACAGATGATAGAATATTTTCTTTAAATTTTGCTAAATATTAATAGACTAAGTATTGTTAACTGTAGCTCTTACTTGATGACTGTTTTGTTATATATAATTTTACTATGTTAAAGTTAAAATCTTCCTTTTTATTTAGACAGAAAAGAGGAGATGATGGGGGATGTCCTTCTGTATATGTTTCTCTTATTGGTGGATGAATAAAACACTGATTGGCCAGTAGCCAGGCAGGAAGATAGGCAGACCAGGAGAATTCTGGGGAAAGGATACGAAGAGAAGCACCAGTGAGATGTCATGTAGCTGAGGAAGGAGTAACAGGTCCAGACCTTTCTCCAGTAAGATAGGACCATTTGGAAATACTTAGATTAATAGAATCGGGTTAATAATTAGGAGAGAGCTAGCCAGTAAGAAGTCTAAGCCACCACCCAAACAGCTTATGAATTACTGTAAGGCTTTGTGTGTTTATTTGGGGCTGAAGGGTGGCGGGACTAGTGAGACAGAAACTTCTGCCCAAAGCACACACTGACGCACATGACTGTTACATGTATGATGCTCCCAACACTAACACAGCACACACACTGATGCACATGACTGTTACATGGATGCTCCCAGCACTAACACAGCACACACACTGACGCACATGACTGCTACATGTATGATGCTCCCAGCACTAACACAGCACACACTGATGCACATGACAGTTACATGGATGATGCTCCCAGCACTAACACAGCACACACTGATGCACATGACTGTCACATGGATGATGCTCCCAGCACTAACACAGCACACACTGACAGACATGACTGTTACATGGATGCTCCCAGCACTAACACAGCACACACTGATGCACATGACTGTTACATGTATGATGCTCCCAGCACTAACACAGCACACACTGATGCACATGACTGTTACATGGATGATGCTCCCAGCACTAACACAGCACACACTGATGCACATGACTGTCACATGGATGATGCTCCCAGCACTAACACAGCACACACTGACGCACATGACTGTTACATGGATGCTCCCAGCACTAACACAGCACACACTGACGCACATGACTGTCACATGGATGCTCCCAGCACTAACACAGCACACACTGATGCACATGACTGTTACATGGATGCTCCCAGCACTAACACAGCACACACTGACGCACATGACTGTTACATGGATGCTCCCAGCACTAACACAGCACACACTGATGCACATGACTGCTACATGTATGATGCTCCCAGCACTAACACAGCACATACTGATGCACATGACTGTTACATGTATGATGTTCCCAGCACTAACACAGCACACACTGATGCACATGACTGTCACATGGATGATGCTCCCAGCACTAACACAGTTCACACTGATGCACATGACTGTCACATGGATGCTCCCAGGACTAACACAGCACACACACTGACGCACATGACTGCTACATGGATGCTCCCAGCACTAACACAGCACACACACTGATGCACATGACTGTTACATGTATGATGCTCCCAACACTAACACAGCACACACTGATGCACATGACTGTTACATGGATGCTCCCAGCACTAATACAGCACATACTGATGCACATGACTGTTACATGGATGTTCCCAACACTAACACAGCACACACTGACGCACATGACTGTTACATGTATGATGCTCCCAGCACTAACACAGCACACACTGATGCACATGACTGCTACATGTATGATGTTCCCAGCACTAACACAGCACACACTGATGCACATGACTGTCACATGGATGATGCTCCCAGCACTAACACAGCACACACTGATGCACATGACTGTTACATGTATGATGTTCCCAGCACTAACACAGCACACACACTGATGCACATGACTGCTACATGGATGCTCCCAGCACTAACACAGCACACACTGATGCAC